AGAGCTCCGCCTTCTGAGTAGCTAGAACTGCAGTTGTAAGCTGTGGGCACCTACTGCATGAGTTCATTTTACAAGGGAGGGAATTCATTGTGATGCTTCCATTCATGTATACAATATACTTCATCAGCCTTATCCCTCTTTCATTCCCAACTTTATTCTCTTTTTTTTTTTGTGCCTGTACTTGTACATAGTAGAGTTCAGTTTGTTGATACAAATCTAGGTAAAAAAAAATGCTGTCTTACTTTGATTGACATTCTTCTTTGTGTTTTATTATGAACAAGGTTGAAAATGTTTTTCCTATATTTTACATATTTAGTTTTTTAATTGTGATCTGCTTATTAGCAAACGATTGAAAATTAGGTCTCTTGTCTTATTTGTAAGGGCTTCCTGTGGTCTTTGAGCTAGTCTGAAGTTTCAGTTACTATTTTGTAAATTGATCTTCTTTTTTCTCCCCCCCCCCCCATAGATCTTGAAGTTTTTGAAAGGCCCTTTTCATGGCAAGGTTATAAAAAATTATTTGGGGACTGGGAAGATGGCTCAGTGATAGAGTGTTTGCTGTGCATGAATGAGGCCCTGGTCTGGTTTTAAACTGCAGTCCTCAGATCTCATTCTCCTGAGTAGCCAGATGTGAGCCACCAGCACTCAGCTTGTAACTTTATTCTTTTTTTAAAGGTTCTTTCTTCTACTGACCAATAAGTAGCTCTATTCTTTTCTCTTTTCTTTTTTTTTTGGGGGGGGGGGGTCTGGTTGTGGGGCCTGAACTCTGGGCCTGGGCACTGTCCCTCAGCTCTTCAGCTCAAAGCTAGCGCTCTACCACTTGAGCCACAGCGCCACTTCCGGCTTTTTTTCCTTTTTGCTTATGTGGTGCTGAGGAATCGAACCCAGGGCCTCTGGCATGCAAGGCAAGCGCTCTACCACTGAGCCACCTTCCCAGCCCTCTATTATTTTTTTTTGTCAGTTATAGGACTTGAATTCAGGGCCTGGGCGCTGTCTTAGAGCTTCTTTTTGCTCAAGGCTAGTACTTTACCACATGAGCCACAGCACCACTTCTGGTTTTTGAGTAGTTAATTGGCGATAAGAGTCTATTGGAGATAAGATTCTTATGGACATTTTTGCCCAGGCTAGATTTGAACTGCTATCCTCAGATCTCGGCTTTCTGAGTATCTAGGACTACAGGGGTGAGCCACCTGCATCTAGCGCAGCTGTAGTCTTTTTTTTGTTTTTGTTTTTTCAGTTGTGGGGCCTGAACTCGGCCTGGGCGCTGTCCCTCAGCTCTTCAGCTCAAGGCTAGTGCTCTACCACTTGAGCCACAGCGCCACTTCAAGCTTATTTTAAGTAGCTTATTGGAGATAAGAGCCTCACAGGGACTTTTCTGCCTGGCTGGCTTCAAACCGTGATCCTCACATCTCAGTCTCCTAGTAGTTAGGATTACAGGCATGAGCCACCATTGCCCAGCTGAATTTAAGACTTTCAGTATTACCTTGTGTGTTTTTTCCTATTTGAATTAGGTTTAATGTTTGGCATCAGTTCATTAACTCTAAAAGCAAAAAAAAAAATTCCTCTTAAAGGATTAATTTTTTTCCATCAGACAATGTGGTGAATGCTTGTAATCCCAGCATTTGGCAAGTAAATTTTGAGATCAAGGCCAGTTTTGGCTGTATAAGACCCTATCACAAAAACAGAACAACAAAAGATTAAGTTATAAATAAATTAAAATATTTTCAGGCACCTTATTAAAAAAAACAACAAGGCTGGGAAGGTGGCTCAGTGGTAGAGCGCTTGCCCTGCATGCCTGAGGCCCTGGGTTCGATTCCTCAGCACCACATAAGCAAAAAAAGCCGGAAGTGGCGCTGTAGCTCAAATGGTAGAGCGCTAGCCTTGAGCTGAAGAGCTGAGGGACAGCGCCCAGGCCCAGAGTTCAGGCCCCACAACTGGACCCAAAAAGAAAACAACAACAACAACAACAACAAATCATGAAAAACATAATCGTTTTTATTGTTGTTATGCCAGAGGAGGATGGCAGGGCTTCATGTGTGCTGTGCTAGGTAAGGGTTCTGTCACTTTTTTTTCTACTTTTCAGCCTCTGAAAAGCAATGTATCTTTTTATATGTGCCAATACCAGAGCTTGAATGCAGTACTTCATGCTTTTGTTGGGCTTTTTTGCTTTAGGCTGGTGCTTTACTACTTAAGCCATATATCCCCTTTGACTTTTTTGTTGGTTAACTAGTAATAAGAGTCAGAGTTATCTGTCTGATCTGGCTTCAAACCTTGATTCTCAGATTTTGCACGTGTGTGTATGTGTGTGTGTGTGTGTGTATTGGAACTTGAACTCAGGGCTCCGGTACTTCTTCACTCAAGCCTGATGCTCTGTCACTTGAGCCACAGCTCCACTTCTGCCATTTGGTGGTTCAATTGGAGTTGAGAGGCTCTCAAGTTTGTCTACTCTGGCTAGCTTTGAACTTCTATCTTCAGATGTCAGCCCCCTGAGTGACATGAACCACAAATACCTGGCCAAAGCAACCTATCTTTAATCTTTCTCCCTGTAGGAAAAAAAATTCTTGATATATTGTGAATATATCTGTAAATATATATATATATATATATATATATATATATACACACAGATATATTCTTGTAACAAAAACCTTGTTAAAGTAAAATATTCAGAAATTATATGCAGATCTTAAGTATATAGACTTAATGAATTTTACTGTGGGCATCTATGTTAGGCCTTCTAGATCAAGAACTAGAATTTCATCAAACATCCCAGAAGCCCCTACCCCTAGTGATTACCATGATTAGCCTAGACTATTTTGATATATAAATAGTTTCTTCTAGTTGGCACTATTAGCACAACATTCCCTCAAAGTTAGGTCTGAATTTATCTGTGTTTGCTGCATCAAGCAGTAATTCATTCTCATTACTGGATAATATGGACATAGTCCCACTTATCCATTCTTCTTTTGCTAGAAATTTGAGTTGATTCCATTTTAGGGCCATTATGAATAGTGTTGCTTTAAACATTCTTGGCTTTTGTGTGCACATATGTACAGACGGGTAAATTCCTAGGAGTAGAGTTAACTGGGTTAGAAGATATCCATCCAAATTGCCAAAGAGTTTTTAGAGTGGCACTGCCAGTTTGTTCTTCCAGAAAAGCACAATGCTTGGTTTAAACATTAGACTGTAGATGATCATGTTTCAGTTTCCTTTCCATCCTTTCTTCCTCTGATATTTTGAGTACTTTTTATTCAATTGAATGTGTTATAACTTGAAATAATAAACCTCTGCTCTCCCATTAAGTAAATGAATACATAAATAATTTGGGGTCAGATGCCAGCAGCTCATGACTGTAATCCTAGCTACTCAGGAGGCTGAGATCTGAGGATTGAGATTCAAAGGCAGCCTGCGCAGGAAAGTCTATGAGACTTTTATCTAAAAAAAAAAAAAAAAACCAACCAGAAGTGGTACTGTGGCTCAAGTGGTAGAGCACTAGCATTGAGCAAAAAAAAAAGGTCAGAGACAGAACCTAGGCCCTGAGTTCAAGCCCCAGGACACACACACACACACACACACACACACACACACACACACACACGCACACGCACGCACGCACGCACGCACGCACCTACCTGAACAAGAACATTACACATTGAAATAAAGGTATCTTTACCACACATACTATTTGTATTATTCATGACAGGGTGAATTAAAATGTCAATCTCAAAATTTCTATGACTTAATAATGGGAGGGAAGTGTATTACTTGTTCCTTAGTAATCCAGTGCGGGTTTTCTTTGCAAGCAGGGTAGTTTTTTTATATGCTTTAGTAACCTATCTTGTAAACATATTAGTGACCTCTGCATTCAGCCAGAGTGGGTAAGAGAAACAAAACATTTTCTTCTAAGCATCAAAATCTGGTTGAGAAGTGACAATCACCAACTCTGCTCACATTCCATTGATGTGGATGTCATGTGTGGGAATCTCATCTAGATGTTGGGGCTGAGAAATGTCCTTGACTGGGCATTTGTCTTACAGGTGCCAGCTCCACAAAATTTTAGGGCAGCTAGCTTCTGGTGGAAAGCTAGCTAGCTAACTCTACTGTCCTAAGCTCCTTGAGGATAAGGCTAGAATGGGGAAGAGTTTAGTTTTGAAATGGTACCAATTATAACAGTGAATTTTTGTAGGGACCTAAGTCTAGAATTATAGCTGAATAACATTGCTTGCCACCTTTGGTATTATATAATCATATGCTTAAAACATTTCTATTAGCTTACATTAGTTATATAGAGGAGTGTTTCATTCTTATATTCCCATACATGTTTACAATATGTATAATGTTTTAACATTATTATTATTATTTTTTGTCGGTCGTGGGGCCTGAACTCAGGGTCTGGGCACTGTCCCCCAGCTCTTCAGCTCAAGGCTAGCCTCTACCACTGGAACCACAGTGCCACTTCCAGCTTTTTCTGCTTATGTGGTGCTGAGGAATCAGACCCAGGGCCTCATGCATGCAAGGCAAGCACTCTACCACTGAGCTACTTTCCTAGCCCCTAGCATTATTTTTTTGTGGGGTATGTATGCTAGACAGGCATTCTAACACTGAGCTATATATGTGTGTGTATCTTTTTTTTTGGGGGGGGGGTCCGGTTGTGAGGCCTGTACTCTGGGCCTGGGTGCTGTCCCTCAGCTCTTCAGCTCAAGGCTAGTGCTCTACCACTTGAGCCATAGCACCACTTCCGGCTTTTTTCTTTTTGCTTATGTGGTGCTGAGGAATCGAACCCAGGGCCTCAGGCATGTAAGGCAAGTGCTGTACCACTGAACCACCTTCCCAGCCCCAAGTGTGTGTATCTTATCTCCACATATACGCACATATTCCCAGCCTTGTTTTAACTTTTATTACCTTTATACTAAGCTGGCAAGCTGTGATGGGCCATTGGTTTAAAATATGGACTACATATGATTCAACTCCCTCTTTCATCTTTTGTCTTCTTCCCCTTCTAGTTTGAAGTTGGCACAATGGAAGAAGCTGGAGTTTGTGGGCTAGGGGTGAAAGCAGATAGGTTGTGTAACTCTCAGTCAAATGATATTCTTCAACATCAAGACTCCAGTTGTGGTGGCACGACTAACAAGCATTCACTGGAAGGGGATGGAGGCAGTGACTTTATAACAAAGAACAGGAATTTGGTAAGCCCAGCATACTGCTCACAGGAGTCAAGAGAAGAAATTCCTGGGCAGGAAGCTCGAACTGGTCCTCCTGATGGTCAACAAGATTCAGAGTGCAGCAGAAACAAGGAGAAAACCTTAGGTAATAATCTCTGCATACTGGTTGGACATTTTCACATATTGCTCATTTTACTCATGGTCTACAGCACAGATGACCATGAACATGATTAGTTTGGAGATGCTTAGCTAATGCCCTTACTGTCTTTGGTGAGGACAATCTCTATGTCTGTTTTGGATATGGGTAAGAGGTAAAAACAGCAGAGTTATAAAGCTCAGTTCATTCTCTAAATAACCAAGAATTAGCTTTCTTCACAAAATTTGGGTACAACAGACAGAAGTGTTATTTGACTTGCCTTGTTTGTATCTTTAATGTATTCTGATAAAAATTATGTGAAAACTTTATTTGATCAATTTCTTTAAAGACTAGGCACAAAACTTTAATGGCAAAATAGGTATCTGTAGTCAGAAAGGGGTTGGCTGGCTTTCTAGGGATATTTTTCTCTCTCCCATGATGTAATTTGTGATTTAGACCAAGATTGTAATATGTTTAATCTCAACAGATCTTGAAACCCTCTTGCATTTTAGTCTTACTCCTACTCAGGGATACTCAGGTTTTTATGCGTATTAAATATGTAATATTTACAGTATATGATATGCATAGTTTTATTTAATGACTGTAAATTGGAATTATCCTTATTAAACTAATTTTAGGCTATCCGAGAAAATGAAAAAAATTACAGAAATATAAAAAGTAATTTTAATTTCTTATGCATAGGGCATACTTCTTAAATCAGGATCCCTGATTTATGTATATAAAAAACAATGTAGTCTTAAAAAGTAACACATAAGGCAGGCTTGGTGACTTATGTCTATAATACTAGCAGCTCAGGAAGTGAGTGTGATTTGAACCCAGCAAGCCACCCCAGGCAAAAATGTCTACAAGACTGTTTCCAATAATTCAGCAAAAAGCTGGGCTGGAAGCATGGTTCAAGTGGTAGCTCATCAGCTGAGCAAGCAAGCCAAGCAAGAGCACTAGGCTGAGTTTAAGCCCCAGTACTGGTACAACAAAATAAAAAAAATACAATGTTACATATGAATAAGCAATTCTACCTGTAGATATCTATACCCAGGAGGATTAAATTTTTGTGTGCTTAGAAGCTTGTATAGGAATGTTCATGGCAGTTTTATCCACAAAAAATTACTCAAAAATGGAAGCCACATAGATATGCATTGGATAATGAATGGATAATTAATGTATGTATCCACATGGTGACATATTAGCCACAAAATGGAATGAAGCATTGATCCATCCTGCATGAATGAATAGTATAAAACAATCTGTAAAATGAAAGAAGCCAGACACAAAGGGCCACACATTGTATGATATCATTATATATGTAATGTTCAGAATTGACAAATTTGTGGAGACACAAAGTGGAATTGTAGTAGCCAAAGCTGAGAGGACAGAGGAATGATGGAGGACCGAGGAATGCTAACGGGCAAGGGATTCTTTGGGGATGGTGAAAATATTCTGGAATTAGAACGTGGTGATGGTTGTATGACTTTGGGAATATACTAAATTGTATACTATTTCTTAATAATGCTGGCGATAAGTTGTATACTTTAAATTAAAAAAATAAAAAGTAGCTGGGCATTGGTGGCTCACACCTACAATCCTACCTACTAGGGAGGCTGACATCTGAAAATCATGGTTTGAAGCCTTCTGAGAAAGGAAAATCCATGAGACTTAGCTCCAGTTAACCACCAAAATACTGGAAGTGGACCTTCCACTCAGTTGATAGACCTCTAGACTTGAGTGAAAAAAACTAGGGGACTAAGTACAAGCCCCACGACTCACTCAGAAACACACACAGATTAAGTTTTAACTAGGTGTACTATGAGAGCCTTTAGTCCCACCTACATAGGAGGCTGAGGCAGCAAGGTCATTGGACCCAGGAGTTCAAGGCTCACTTGACAACAAAGTAAGGTCTTATCTCTGAAGATTTTTTTTTTGGTCAGTCATGGCCAAGTCATGACCGTGATGGCTTGATCTCAGGGCTTTGGGGATCTCTGTGAGCTTTTTTGCTCCAGGCTAGTGATCCACCACTTTAAGTCACTGTACCACTCCCAGGTTTCTGGTGGTTAATTGGAGATAAGAGTCTCATGGACTTTCCTGCCCAGACTGGTTTTGAACCACAATTCTCAGATCTCAGCCTCCTGCTAGGACAAGCAAGAGCCACTGGCTCCCAGCTTTCTGAAGATTTTTTTTTAAAAAGTGAATTAGATGTTATGAAAATTCTCTGTAAAAAATATATGCCCTGGGCTGGGAATGTGGCTCCATGGCAGGCATGAAGCTCTGGGTTCAATTCCTCCGTAACGCATAAGCAGAGAAATGTAGAAGTGGCAGTGTGGCTCAAGTAGTAGAGTACTAACCTTGAGCAAAAGAAGCTCAGGGACAGTGCCCAGGCCCCAGGACTGGCAGAAAAAGATGCCCTATCATCCCCCAAACAAAACAGAAAGACAGTTTGAGGTTTAAAGTCCACCTCCTTCTTCCACTCTCCCCCATAGCAGTATATATACCAAATACCAAAGTCATATTATGTTATAGTAAATCCTTGATATCCTTGATCTGTTGTTCCTGTTAAACTGCTGTTGAAGAAAAAGCCACACATTCTCAGTATGTGGAGTTCAAGTATTGCACTGAATAGATTTGATTCATTTTTTTTTCTACAGCACTACTCAATTACCTGCTGATGATATGGCTCCTTTTCAGCAAATCTCTAGTTTCACTTTATCACTTCAACTCAGCATATTTATTTATTTATTTATTTACTTATTTTTATTATTATTATTTTTTGTCAGTTGTAAGGCTTGAACTCTGGGCCTGGGCACTGCCTATGAGCTCTTCAGCTCAGGGTGAGCATTCTACCACTTGAGCCACAGCTCTACTTCCGGTTTTCTGGTAGTTAATTGGAGATAAGAGTCTCACAGACTTTGCTGCCTGGCTGGCTTTGAACTGCCATCCTCAGATCTCAGCCTCTTGAGTAGTAGCTAGGATTACAGGGATGAGCCACCAGCGCCTGGCAATGTATTTGTTTTTAACCTTGCTTTTTGGGTACCATTTGCCATTTTATTGTTGTTCTGGTACTAGGACTTGAACTCAGAACCTAGGTACTGTCCCTTAGCTTTGTCAGCTCAAGATTGAACCACAGCTCCACTTCTAGCTTTTAGGTGGTTAATTGGAGATAAGAATCTCACAGACTTTCCTGCCAGGGCTGGCTTTTAACCACAATCCTCATATCTCAGCTAGGGTTACAGGTGTGAGCCACCAGCACGTGGCTCATCATTGCTTTTTGGGAGTCACGTCTTCACAAAAGTAAGGCTAGGGAGACATTTATCAGATTATACAGTGACTTCAGCACAACTAATGACAGACAACAAGGGGTTGACAGATGGTCTCTGCACCCACTAAGGTGCAGGAATTGATCGTGTGTGTGTGTGTGTGTGTGTGTGTGTGTGTGTGTGTGTGTGTGTGTGTGTGTGTGTGTGTGTGTGTGTGTGTGTGGTGGTGGTGGTGGTGGTGGTGGTGGTGGTGGTGGTGGTGGTGGTGGTGGTGGTGGTGGTGGTGGTGGTGGTGGTGTCATTCCTGGATCTTGAACTCAGGGTCTGGGCGCTCTCCCTATTCTCAAGGCTAGCTCTCTACCACTTGATCCACATTTCCAATTGTGGCTTTTTTGAGATAAGAGTCTTATAGTCTTTCTTGTCCAGGCTAGCTTTGAACTAGGATTCTCAGATCTCAGCCTCTTGAATAGCTAGGGTGAAAGGTGTGAGCCACATTGCCTGGTATACAACATCCTTAAAATACTGCTTAAAGTTCTTTTCTCATGGGAATTACCCTGTTTTCCTTTATTTGCAGTAACCTTGATTAACACAAGGGGTATTGTTCGTAGTAAATCACCAGAAAATAAGGTATTTAAATTGTTCATAGGAAAGGGTAATCTGTCACCAGTATTTATAATTTTAGCTAGGCAAAGTATAGTACCAGTTGAAAATCTTTTGAATTTGCTTCTGTATTTGTACTTGGTTAGGAGGATGCTTTTAAAATTATTCTCTGCATTTTGTAATTTGCCCTTTGTTTTTACTTTGACATCAGTGATGAGGCAAGAGAATTATTTTTTTTTAATTATAAAATAAAATCTTTTATTTTACCTATTTTTTTTAATTTTTATTTTTTATTGTGTGAGGCAAGAGAACTCTTAAGCCTTAAATTAGAGTTCTTAGAAATGGTGATGTTAAGCCTGGCACCAGTGGCTCACGCCTGTCATCTTAGCTATTCAGGAGGCTGAGATATGAGGATCGTGGGTCAAAGCTAGCCCAGGCAGGAAAGTCTGTGAGACTCTTATCTCCAATTAACCACCAGAAAACTGGAAGTGGCGCTGTGTCTCAAGTGGTAGAGTGCTTGCCTTGAGCTGAAGAGCTCAGGGACAGTGCCCAAGCCTAGAGTTCAAGCCCTGCAACCAACCCCCCCCCCCCAAAAAAAAAAAAAAAACCCAACAAAGAAATGTTGGTGTTAGTGAAGGAGTTAAGAAATTTGAGGTTAGGATGGGGAGCAGAGTGGGGTGCCTATGACCAGAATTTAAAAATAGCATTCTTTTTTCTACCCTCCTCCCTTATTTTTCTTCTTTTTTTTGGGGTGGGGATTAAATCCCTGGGCATGCAGTCAAGTGCTCTACCATTGAGCTGTACCATCGGTCCCCCAAATAGCTTTCTTTTCTTTTTCTTTTTGATCATACTGGGGCTTAAACTCAAGGTCTTATGCTTGGTAATGCTGTAATGATGAGCCATTCCTCCAGCCCTACTTGGGGAATTGAGCTGATAAATAGTGTGCTTCTAGGTATAGGTATAAACTATTTTACTCTGGATTTAGGAACGTGAGAAGTATTGGTAGAGTTAACAGGTTCGATTTGATTTCATTCTTCTTCAGGGACTTATTTCTTATCTTGTTAATCATCAGGAAAAGAAGTTTTATTACTGATGCAAGCCCTAAACACCCTTTCAACCCCAGAGGAGAAGCTGGCAGCTCTCTGTAAGAAATATGCTGATCTTGTGAGTATTAAATCAAGGGTGTGACGGCCACATTAAATATGGAAGAATGTGTGTATGCTTGATAAGCTTTTGCATATATAATTTTGATATAGCTTAAAATGTAAAATTAATATTTTATTCCAAAACCGAAGGGGAGAATCTGATTCCTTGGGCCTTTTTATTGGTTACATGATTAGGTTTAATATGATAATATATAGACAACATAATAGTGCTAACATGTGGATTTGCTTTTTCCCTTGAGGATGTGGTCTCACTTTGTTGCTCATACTGGTCTCCAACTCTTGGGCTCAAATGATCCTCCTGCCTTTGCCTCCTGAGTAGCTGGATCCCCAGGCTTGTGTCACCATACTGATGTGACTGGCAAATATTTGTTTGTGTGTGTGTGTGTTCATATGTGCATGTATGTGCACATGCATAAGTGCACATATGCCAATCTGAGGGCTTGAACTCTGGGCCTGGGTGCTGTCACTGAACTCTTTTTTTTTTTGTCGGTCGTGGGGCTTGAACTCTGGGCCTGGGCACTGTCCCTCAGCTCTTCAGCTCAAGACGAGCACTCTACCACTTGAGCTACAGCGCCACTTCCGGTTTTCTGGTGGTTTATTGGAGATAGGAGTCTCACGGTCTCTCCTGCCTGGGCTTGCTTTGAACCTCGATCCTCAGATCTCAGCCTCCTGAGTAGCTAGGATTACAAGCGTGAGCCACCAGCGCCCAGCCTGTCACTGAACTCTTGCTCAAGGCTAGCACTCTACCACTTGAGTCACAGCTCCACTTCTGGTTTTTTGAGGGTGGTTAATTAGAGATAAGTCTCACAGATTTTTCCTGCCCAGGCTGGCTTTCACCTTGATCCTCAGAACTCAGCCTCCTTAGTAGCTAGTATTACAGGCATGAACCACCCTAATCCCCCCCCCCCCCCCCCCCCCCCCCGGCAGTAGTAGGGTTTGAACTCGGCCTGGGCGCTGTTCCTCAGCTCTTCAGCTCAAGGCTAGCACTCTACCACTTGAGTCACAGCACCACTTCCAGTTTTCTGGTGGTTGATTGGAGATAAGACTCTCACAGACTTTCCTGCCCAGACTGGCTTTGAACTGCTATCCTCAGATCTCAGTCCTGAGTAGCTAAGGTTACAGGCATGAGCCACCGGCTCCTGTCTTCTCCCTAATCTTTTTTGCTCAAGGCTTGAGTCTATCATTTTACCACTTGAGCCACGATTACATGTTTGGCTTTTTTTGGGGGTGTTTAGTTGTAGATGTGAGTCTCATGGACTGATGTGAGTCTCATTGACTTCCTGCCCAGACTAGCTTCAAACCGTGATCCTCATATCTCAGCCTTCTAAGTAGTTAGGATGACAGGCGTGAGCCTGTGCCCAACTCTGGCATAGATTTTCTAAAGATTTCAGAGTTCTTTCAAAATAAGCATCTTTATTTCAGTGTGGTGCCCTAGATGCCAGTCATTTGGAGTGTCTTATTTAAGTTTATAAACTATTTAACTTTTTTGGTGTGTGTTACAGGGGCTTGAGCTTGAGAATCTGTGCTCTTGCTCAGCGTTTTTGCTTATGGTTGGCACTCTCACTTGAGCCATACCTCCATCCCTACTTTTTTCTAGTTTTGAGATGGAGCCTATTGGAATTTTCTACCTGAGCTGGCCTCAACCATTATACTCCAGGTCTGTCTCCCAAGTAACTATGATTATTAGATGTAAGCCACTGATACTGGGCTTTATTTACCATTTTCTTACAGGAATTGGAGAGATAAAGATTAGCCATTTTGATTGAATTTGTGAGCTATATGGAATGATCTAATAAGACAATACTTTGTATCAACACACATAACATATATATGTGATATATATAAACATATGTTTGTGTTTATATATCATATATACATATATATGCTGGTCTTGGGGGCTTGAACTCGGCCTGGGCACTGTCCCTGAGTTCTTTTGCTCAAGGCTAGCCCTCTACTGCTTGAGCTACTGTGCCACTCGTGGGTTTTATTTATTTTTTCCAGTCCTAGGGCTTGAACTCAGGGCACTGTCCATGAGCTTCTTTTGCTCAAGGTTAACACTCTACTATTTGAGCCACAGTGTCACTTCCAGCTTTTTCTGGTTATATGGTACTGAGGAATTGAACCCAGGGCTTCATATATGCTAGATAAGCACTCTACCACTAAGCCACATTCCCAGTCCACAATTTTTTTTAATGAATAGTTTATTGGAGATAAGAATCTCATGGATTTTTCTGCCTGGGCTGGTTTCAAACTGCTATCCTCAGATCTCAGCCTCCTGAGATGTGAGATGCCAGTGCCTGGCAATGATATAGTTATTTAGCATCTACTATTTGTCAGGTTATTTTTTTTCTCTTCCAAAGAATTTACCTCATCATTTTTTTCTGGCCTGTGTTTTTTTCAGTTAGCATTAATTATCTGTGAAACTATAAAAGTAATCTCAATGTGGAAGCCATGCCATCCTATTTAAATTGAAGAATGCGAAAAGTTAAACTGGGTGAGAGTTTGAGGCCAGCTTGGGTTATGTTGTGAGACCTTGTCTGAATAATCCAAAATAAAGAAAGCATGGAAAAGTCACAGAACCCTTTGAAGGAAAAGTTGTGGAAACTTTTACAGTAAGTGGTTCTAATTAATTATTAGAATTATAATTTTTATGCATTTTCATCTCTTAGAGCAGTTGTTTTATATTATAAACTATTATTTTTTCATATTATAAACCATTCATATTATAAACTATTACTAGCTCGAAGAAATGAGTTATTACTCAACAAATGAGAGTTACTTCCCATCAGTTAAAAAGTGGTCCCCATTTGCCCTGTTTAGCTGGGTCTTAGCAGTCTGGCACCTTCCACTATTTGGACCAGAAAATCTTGTGACTCAAACTCTTGTGGGCCACAAGTTACTGCAATGATGGCAGTAACTGTGTGTGTTAGCTTCAGGGAAGGAATGTGTCCATGGGCTATGGTCCTAGGCCAGTTCCTGTTGGTACTATTCGCATGAGAATCATGCAAGAAGTGGTGGGGAAAACAAGAAGGAGGGGGAAGGGAAGGAAAGGAAAGGAAGGAAAGGAAAGGAGGAAGAGAAAGAAAATTTAAAAAGTAAAACTGTAATGCTGGTGGCTCATGTCTGTAATCCTAGCCACTCAGGAGGCTGAGCCCTGAGCATCACAGTTCAAAGCCAGCCTGAGCATGAAAGTGAGACTCTACTCACCAATTAACCACCAAAAAAGCTGGAAGTAGAGCTATGGTTCAACTGGTGAACCACTAGTCTTGGACAAAAATCACTCAGGGACAGCACCTAGGTCCTGAGTTCAAGCCCCAGGAGAGGTACAAAAAAGCACAACTGGGCTGGGAAGGTGGCTCAGTGGTAGAGTGCTTGCCTTGCATGCATGAGGCCCTGGGTTCCATTCCTCAGCACCACATAAAGCAGAAAAGGCCAGAAGTGGTACTGTGGCTCCAGTGGTAGAGTACTAGCCTTGAGCTGAAGAGCTGAGGGACAGCGCCCAGGCCCAGAGTTCAAGCCCCACAACAGACCAAAAAAAAAAAAAACAAAACTGTAGCAGTATACGTACTTGATGCAGTGCTCTGAGAACAGCAGACAGCACTGAGTAGCTTAGAAGATGGAGCAATAGTCACCTCAGCATTTCTCAGATGTACACAAATCATTGGCGCTTTTGTGAACATTCACATTCACCTCTTCTGCATTAATTTTTTAAATTATTATAAGGGTGATCCTGTAAAGACTCCATTTCTTTTTGTACAGTGTCAAGAGTCTGCATTTTAACAAGCTTCCAGTTGCTGATGCTTCCAAACCTTGCACCATACCTGTAGGAACAGGGGTTCTAGGGTGTTTTTGTTTATGACTCTTATGGTATCTATCACTTTGCACCATCACTCTGGTTATTACACTGATATATAGCACTCCCCTGTGGAGCTCGGTTCAATGTGATTGCGACCATCCATTTAGGAGATCTTGTTTCATGTTGACTAGGTCATATGGATTCAAGAAATCATGATATTTGAGAGTGAATGCCATTAATGTCCTGTGGCATTATTTCATATTGTTATTCTTTCCATTCCATAGTCAGTTTGTTTAGATTATATTGTACTAGTAATAAAGATAAATATGATTGGGTAGATTTATTTCACTTTTTTTTTTTTTTTTGGTGAGAGTCCTTGGGTTTGAACTCAGAGCCTTGGCGCTGTCCCTGAGCTTTTGTGCTCAAGGCTAGTGCTCTACCACTTGAGCCACAGCTCTGCTTTCAGATTTTGGGTGATTAATTGGAGGTAAGAGTCTCGCACTTTCCTGCGCAGGCTGGCTTTGAACTTTGATCCTCAGATCTCAACCTTGTAAATAACTAGAATTAAAGGCATGAGCCTTTGGTACTCAGGTTTTCACTCTTTTTTCCTTTTTTTTTTGGGTCCGGTCGTGGGGCCTGAACTCTGGGCCTGGGTGCTGTCCCTCAGCTCTTCAGCTCAAGGCTAGCGCTCTACCACTTGAGCCACAGCACCACTTCCAGCTTTTTTCTTTTTGCTTATGTGGTGCTGAGGAATCGAACCCAGGGCCTCAGGCATGCAAGGCAAGTGCTCTACCACTGAGCCATCTTCCCAGCCCTCCTTTTTTTTTTTTTAACTGGTCCTGGGGCTTGAACCTCAGGGTCTGGGTGTTGTCCCTGAGCCTCTTTGTGCCCAAGGCTAGTGCTCTACCACTTGAACCACAGCACCACTTCTGGTTTTTTCTGAGTGGTTTATTGGAGATAATAGTCTCATGTACTTTTCTGCCCTTTGAACTTGGATCTTCAGCTCTCAGCCTCCTTAGTAGTTAGGATTGCAGACATGAGCCACAGGTGCCCACCTTCACTTTTTTTTTTTCATCAGAAATATATTGGATTATTTTGAACCTTTTTTCTCTATGAATTTTTAATGTAGTAGTTCCATGGGGCAAAAAATCCTATGTGTACATGTTTTGAAGAAGTGCTGTCTACCTATTTTTTTTTGTGGGTCCTTGGTCTTGAACTCAGGACCTTGGTGCTGTCCTTAAGCTTTTGTGCTCAAGGCTAGCATTCTACTACTTGAGCCACAGGTCCACTTCTGGCTTTTTTTTTGGTGGTGGTTAATTGGAGAAAAGAGTGTCATGGACCTTCTTGCCCTGGCTGGCTTCAAACCGCAATCCTCAGATCTCAGTTTCCTGAGTGGCTAGAATTACAGGCATGAGCCAGGCTCTTAGTATTGTTTCTGAAGTTAGTTTTGAATTCCTGATCTTAGTGAATCTGGGATTTCAAAGAGCATTTCATGCAATCTATAGATGAATTTAGAAAAGAATTGGCATCCTCAGAGTATCAGTAGAATTTTTTAAAAAAGTGTTACACTATAGCTTGGCACACTGGCATGTTTGTAGTCCCAGCTATTGGAAAGGCAGAGGCAGGAGAATTACTTGAGCCATTATGTTGTTATGGCAACATAGTGAGAGACCCTGTCTCCTAAAGAAAAAGGGAACAAAAAAGTGTTACCCTTATAGGAAACAATGAATTCTGTTCTTTATACACCATGCACAACAATGAGTTCCAAATGGATTTAAGTGCTTAAAATGTTACAAGTTAAGCTTTTAGATTGAAAAATCAGTAATTTTCTACTCTCAATCAAAGGTTTCTTACAACATGAAAAGTATTGTCAGGGAAAAGGATTGCACAAATTGACTTTATTGAATTTAGACTTCGCTTCTGCAGAAAATTCCTTACAAGAAAGTCAGAACATATTACAAACTAGGGGAAACATTTCCAACAAATAAAATCAAGAGGGGATTTGGTGTCAAGAATATTTAAGAGAATACCACAAATAGTATGGAAATGACAACAGAGTGAAAGCTGGCAGAAGACATCTAACAGGCTCTTCATAGAAATGGAAAACAAAAGACACCAAAGTAACTTAACTAACCTAAAGACCCACGAACACGAGGGAGGTGTTTTATTATATTCAGTGGTCAGGAAGATTTAGATCAACACCACGATGCAATTCCTTTATATCTGTCATAGTGACAAAAATTAAGGAATGTGATCTTATGTTTTGGGGAGGATGTGGCTTTGCATGTTATCCTACACATTGTTGTTGGGAATTAAAGCTTGCCAGCTACTCTGGGTAAGTATGGCAGTATCATATGAATTGCACATTTAGAAATCATTGCCCAGTTTAGGTTTGCAACCAAGAGAAATTCTGAAATGTGTATACCAGGATACATGAGAATATTCATACTGCTATAAGCAGTAACAAAACCTGGAGATAGTCCAAATGCCCATTAAAATGTTTTAAAATAAACTATATATGACAGAGGCCATATGTAGTTCACCACTCCTAAAATATTTACTTGCCTGGACATTTACCGAAAAAAATTGCTAACCCTTGCACAATAGCTACATATCAGCAATATGATGAATCCTACCAATGCATATAAATGATAAAATGTTGCCCTAAAAGAAAGTAATCTAGGTCTGGGAAGGTGGCTCAGTGGTAGAGTGCTTGTTTTGCATGCATGAGGCCCTGGGTTCGATTCCTTAGCACCACGTAAACAGAAAAAGCGGAAGTGGTACTGTGGCTCAAGTGGTAGAGTGCTAGCCTTGAGCTGAAGAGCTGAGGGACAGCACCCAGTCTCAGAGTTCAAGCCCCACAACTGACCAAAAAAAAAAAAATCTAGAGTTTTGCTGTCCAAGATACTCTCCATTTACCATATGAGGCTACTTAAAGTGAAAATGAATGTCAATTATTAGAGATGTTTAAATTTTTCAGTACCTTAATTTTACTAGTTACAGTAAAGTCACAAGTAAACAAGATGTGTGCGCGCACACATGTGCGCACGCACTGCTCCTAGAACTTGAATCTGGGCCTGGGCACTGTCTCTTAGCTTATTTTGCTCAAGATTAGCACTCTACCACTTGAGCCAGAGCTTCACTTCTGCCTTTTTGGAGGTTAACAGGAAAATAATCTCATAGATTTGCTTCCTAGAAAGGCTTCGAACCATGATCCTCAGATATCAGCCTCTTGAGTAGTGAAGATCACAAGTGTCAGCCACTGGCACCTGGCTTGTTAGTATTGGTTTTTTGGTTGTTTTTTTGGGGGGGAGGGTCCGGTCGTGAGGCCTGAACTCTGGGCCTGGGCCCTGTCCCTCAGCTCTTCAGCTCAAGGCTGGCGCTCTACCACTTAAGCCACAGTGCCACTTCCGGCTTTTTTTCTTTTTGCTTATGTGGTGCTGGGGAATTGAACCCAGGGCCTCATGCATGCAAGGCAAGCAGGCAAGCGCTCTACCACTGAGCCACCTTCCCAGCCCCGTTAGTATTGGTTTTTAAAGGTCTTTATTAGCATGGGTTCGTTTTATAAGAGGGGGTTCACTGTGGTATTTTCATATATGCATACAATGTACCCAACAACGTCATACCCTTTATCACTCTCCCTCACCTTCTGCCTCTTCCCCTCCTTCAAACAATTCCAACAGGTTTTTTGTTCTATTTTTTATGTTTAGCCAATCCTGGGGCTTGAACTCAGAGCCTGGGCACTGTCCCTGAGCCTCTCTGTGCTCAAGGCTAGCTACTCTACCACTTGAACCACAGTGTCACTTCCAGCCTTTTCTGGGTATGTGGTACTTAGGAATCGAACCCAGGGCTTCATGCATGTGAGGCAAGCACTTTTTATATAAAAGAGTAATGTTGACAGCATTATAAGAGAGCAGTGAGGCAAGCACTTTTTATATAAAAGAGTAATGTTGACAGCATTATAAGAGAGCAATGATTCTTTCTGCAAGATTTCAGTAAAAAAAAAAAATTCTTTTTTTTTGTGGGGGGGGTTGGTTGTGGGGCTTGAGCTCTGGGCCTGGGCGCTGTTCCTCAGCTCTTCAGCTCAAGGAGCGCACTCTACCACTTGAGCCACAGAGCCATTTCTAGTTTTCTGGTGGTTTATTGGAGATAAGAGTCTCACAGGGACTTTCCTACCTGGGTTGGCTTTGAACCGCTATCCCCAGATCTCAGTCTCCTGAGTAGTTAGGATTACAGTGTGAGCTACTGGCACCCAGCTTTTTTTTTTTTCCCCTAAATTTTCAAGGTAAGATTTCACTATGTAGCTCAGGCTAACCATGAATTCACAATTATCCCTCTGTCTCGGCCCTCTGAGTCCTGGAATTATAGCTGTGTACTGCAGTTCAGTAAAGGTGTTCTTACAGATTGTCTGAAAGATGCTTGGATGTATGTGCATGCAAATATGTGTTTGGGGGCAGTATGTGGTTTGAGCTTAGGGCCTTGGGATTTCTAGGCAAACTCTTGAAGTTCACCTCCATCCAGCTTGATATGTTTTGAAAGACCACAAGGTGGCACTATTGTTCTTTAAGTTATGACAGCATCATTTCCTCCTTCAGGAAAAGCAGTACAGAAAGGTCAGTAAAGCTGCCATCTTAGCTGTAGTGTTCTTTTAACCTTGAGATAGCCATTTGCTTTGAACTTAAAATTGCAGCATTTTCTACAACTTTTGGATACTGCTTATTAAGTTACAAATCAGTGTTGGAGTGTCTAGGGTGTTATTTTAGAAAAATAAGACAATATTGATTCCTAAAATATTTTTAAAAGAAAATAATGAGCCATAAAGCACAATAAATCTATATTTTAAGTGAGGATCATGGCCCAGTGGTAGAGCACTTACCTAACAAGTGCAAGGCCCTGAGTTCAAGCCCCAGTACGCAAAAAAATGCCATAATTTATATTTGGATTTCAACACTTTTTTTTTCTTTTTTCTTATCAGTTGTGGGGCCTGAACTCAAGGTCTGGGTGCTGTCCCTGAGCTCTTCAGCTCAAGGCTAGCACTCTACCACTTGAGCCATAGCAGGACTTCTGGCTTTTTCTGCTTATGTGGTGCTGAAGAATCAAATCCAGGGCCTCATGCATGCAAGGCAAGCGCTCTACCACTGAGCCACCTTCCCAGCCCCTTCAGCACGTCTTTTGACAGGCAGAAAATTTGTCTAGACAGATGGCTCATCCATCAGGCAGCAAATCAAGACATGTCTGGCCTTGGAACTAAGTTAGTACTAGCCTTCAGCATTGACGGAAGTCTAGCCAGAACACATCAGTTTGTTTTCAGAAGGGTTAAGTAAGCCCAGAACGTGGGCAGTGTTGCCAATGGGCCTTCAAAAACTTCTGGGACAGGAAGTGTCCAGTTCAACTCCCAGGGTTATACCTGGAAGTTGAAGAGCTTATACCCCTGGGAGGGGGCTGAAGACCTGTGCTTATTATTTAGCCTTTGGCGGAAGGCAAGTGAATCAAGGACTCAAGGTCAACACAGAAGCCAAGGAAGAAGCCATTGTAGAGGTTTTGAGGTTTAATTTGATTTTGAAAATCGCAAAAGTAATGAAGGTCATTTTTTTCCACTCACCCTAAAAGTTGCTTGGTTTTCTATTACATCTGGAACTCAGAGGAAGTTGGAAGTATTGGAAGATATAAAACAACATAAATAAAACCACAGTATTTGGCTTTTTGTTGTTATTTCTTTGTTTCTTTTCTTTTTCTCAGTTGGGGATTTAGTCCAGGGACTTTGCTCATACGAAGCAAATGCTTTTACTGCTGAGTTGTAGCCTGAGGCCAGAATTTGGCTCTTTAAAGACTGCATAGCTCATACTATAATTCTTTCAGCTTTTACTGTAAGGTCTTTGTTATACTTCCTAAATATAAAGTTCTTGATTTTAGCTGGAGGAGAGCAGGAATGTCCAGAAGCAAATGAAGATTCTGCAGAAGAAGCAAGCCCAGATTGTGAAAGAGAAAGTTCACCTGCAGAGTGAACACAGCAAAGCTATCTTGGCAAGAAGCAAACTGGAGTCTCTCTGCAGGGAACTTCAGCGACACAATAAGACTTTAAAGGTTAGTCTGTTGGTTTTTCTGTTTGTTTTTTTTTTTTAAGAGGAACTTACTCAACTGGTTTTTATAGTTACCTTATACCTGTTTGAAATGAAGCCATGTCTCTGTTTGGGCTGGTGCATGTGAGCTAGTAACAGTTTTTTCCTATGTTGTGCTATCCCATTTAAGGAACGAGGCCTTTGTTAGTTCCCTCATTCTTGGTCCCAGGTAGTCTACATCCTGATGTTTATATCTGTTGCTCTCTTAAGAAGCTCAGAGTTGCCAGCTTTCTGCTGTGTTCCAGTAGAGCTGATAGCCACGAACACAGAGCTGCTATGAAGTGAGAAGCTAGTAAGGGACTTGAGACAGTGAATCTGAGAAGGGAGAACTGCTGAGATAGACTTTCCTGAGTCTCCTGGCCTATATCTAGCTCTTTGATGCTGAGTACTTTGATAGTACAGCTATACTAAGACCAATTATAACGGAGGAATAAGCATATATCCTAAGTTCAATTGGTATCCACAGGGAATGAGGAAAAAGCAGAACCATGTGAAGGAATCTGTCTTAAACAGTGGGACAGACCTGCCCTTGAGTATATATACTGTAGTAGCACTTTGAGTAGGTTTTCTTTTCTTTTCTTTTCTTTCTTGTGCTGGTTCTTGGGCTTGATCTCAGGGCCTAGGCACTGTCCCTGAGCTTCTTTTGCTCAAAGCTAGTGCTCTACCACTTGGGCCAGAACTGTGTTTTTGGAGTTTTTGGTAGTTTAGTGGCAATAACAGACTTTCCTGCCCAGCTGGCTGCAAATTGCGATCTTCAGATCTCAGCCTCCTGAGTAGGCAGGATTTTGAGTCAATGTATTTAGCTCTTAATTAAAACAGATGGTATTTTTCCTTCACAAAAAGTCATTTTGAGTAGACAGGTAAAGGTCTTGACACACAACTTAGGAAGAATTAATGTTAAGTGTGTGTGTGTGTGTGTGTGTGTGTGTGTGTGTGTGTGTGTGTGTGTGTGTGTGTGTGTGTGTGTGTGTGTGTGTGTGTGTGTGTGTGTGTGTGTGTGTGTGTGTGTGTGTGTGTGTGTGTGTGTGTGTGTGTGTGTACATACATACCCGTCCTGGGGCTTGAGCTCACAGCCTAAGCTTTTTGCTCAAGACTAGGGCTCTACCACTTGAGCCACAGTTCCACTTTCAGCTTTTTGGTAGCTAACTGGAGATAAGAGTCTCACAAACTTTCTTGCTGCAGCTGGCTTCAAACTGCAATCCTCAGATCTCAGCCTCCTGAGTAGCTAGAATTACAGGGGTGGTGCTCAGCAGTGTTGTCTTTATTAATATGTTAATAATAATTATTATTATTATTTTTGGAGTACTGGGTTTAAACTCAGGGCCTAACGTTTGTTAGAAAGGCACTCTACCATTTGAGCCATCCCCTTGGCTGCCTTTTACATTTAGTTACTTTTCAAGTAGGGTCTTGTATTTTTGCCGGGGCTCACCTGGACCCACAATCCCTGGAGTATAGCTGATGGACTTTTCTGCCTGTGCGGGCTTTGAACCTTGATCTTAGAACTCATCTTCCTGAGTAGCCAGGATTACAGGTGTTGAGCCACTCGTACCCAGCTTCTTAAGCTTTTTTTTTTTTTTTTTTTTTTTTTTAGCTCAGGCCTGGGCCTTGTCCCTGAGCTCTTTTTTTTTTCGTTTTTTTTTTGTTTGTCGGTCATGTGGCTTGAACTCTAGGCCTGGGCACTGTCCCTCAGCTTTTCAGCTCAAGGAGAGCACTCTACCACTTGAGCCACTGCACCACTTCTGGTTTTCTGAGTGGTTTATTGGAGATAAGAGTCTCACGTCCGGGCTGGCTTTGAACCTCGATTCTCATATCTCAGCCTCCTGAAGAGCTAGGATTACAGGTGTGAGCCACCGGCACCTGGCCAGTGCTTTACCACCGCAATGCCACTTTTGCCACTTCTGATTTTTGAGTGGCTAATTGGAGATAAGAGTCTCCTAGACTTTCCTGCTTGGAGAGGCTTCGAACAACCATCCTCAGATGTCAGCCTCCTGAGTAGTGAGGATTATAGGCGTGAGCCACCTGCTCCTGCCTCAGTAAGCTTTTAAAAAATGTTATTTGTCTCTTGCCCTGTCAGTAGTGGAAGGTGTGACCCAGCAATTAACTTCAGGAGGGGCTCTATTGGGCTGATATAAAGTCATGTTCTGTTATCAGTGAAGAGGGGGTTGGCAGCATGAAGAAGCTTTAGATAGTTGTATCACACTTGTAATGATATAAGCCACAGTTTGTGTCTCTCTTTTTTTTTTTGTGATGTGCCTGTGCTTGAACTCAGGGCCTGAGTGCTGTCCTTGAGCTTTCTTGCTCAAGGCTAACACTCAAGCACTTGAGCCATACCTCTGCTTTTGATTTTTTTTTTGCCAACCCTGGGGCTTGAACTCAGGACCTGGGCACTGTACCTGAGCTTCTTTTCCTCAAGGCTAGCACTCTACCAGTTGAGCCACAGTGCCACTTCCAGCTCTTTCTGTTTATGTGGTACTAAGGAATCGAATCCAGAGCTTCATGCATGCTAGGCAAGCACTCTACCACTAACCATATTCCCAGCCCCACTTCCGAATTTTGTTGTTGTTGTTGTTGGTTGTGGGGCTTGGACACTGTCCCTGTGCTCTTCAGCTCAAGGCAAGTGCTCTACCGCTTGAGCCACAGCACCACTTTCTGTTTTTTTGGTGGTTTATTGGCGATGAGTCTCACGGACCTTCCTGCCACTTTCCTGCCAGTGCTGGCTTTGAACCATGATCCTCAGATCTCAGCCTCCTGAATAGCTAGGATTATAGGCATGAGCCACTGGCGCCTGGCCCACTTCTGAATTTTTTGATGCTTAATTGGAGATAAGTCTGATGAACTTTTCAGCCTGGGCTGACTTCAAAACCTTAGCCTCCTGAATCACTAGGATTATAGGCATAAGCCACCAACTATCAGCGTTGTGTTTCACAACTATTTGGGAAAAGACTGGCTTTTTTTTGGTGGTACTAGCATTTGAACTTAGGATTTCATGCTGCCAGGCTGGCATTTTACCACTTGAACCACAGCTCCAACCCTCATTTGCTGTTGTTTTTTGTTAGTTGTGGGACTTGAACTCAGGGCCTGGGTGCTGTCCCTTAGCTCTTTTTTGCCAATATCTAGTGCTCTACCACTTTGAGCCACAGTCCCACTTCCAGTTTTCTGGTGGTTAATTGGAGATCCTCACAAACTTTCTGACTGGGTTGACTTTGAACTGAGATCTTCAAATCTCAGCCTCCTGAGTAGCTCAGATTACTGATGTGATCCACCAGCACCCAGCTTTTTGGTGGTTATTTTTCATTTTTTTTGTCTATCATGGGGCCTGGGCTCTATCCCTCAGCTCTTCAGCTCAAGGCTGGCACTCTACCACTTGAGCCACAGCGCCACTTCCGGCCTTTTCTGCTTATGTGGTACTGAGGAATCGAACCCAGAGCCTCATGTATGCAAGGCAAGCACTCTACCGCTGAGCCACCTTCCCAGTCCCTTGGTGGTTATTTTTGACCTAGAGTCTTGTGAACTTTTCTGCCAGGGCTGCTCCTAGGGATCTTGGATTACAGGCATGAGTCAGTGGTACCCATCTCACTTACTTTTAAGTGAGAACCTTTTGGTCCTAAGGAAGAGGAGCTAAAGCTCAGAAGCAACATGTCAGGGCAGCAGTAGCGAACCTGCATTACAGCTGCTGCTTCTGTGAGCATCCTGTCTATAGATCTAAACTATTAACAGAAATTATTTTGGGAATTAAGGAAGAAAATATACAGCAAGCCCGAGAGGAAGAAGAACGCCGTAAAGAAGCAACAGCCCATTTCCAGATTACTCTAAATGAAATCCAAACCCAGCTGGAACAACATGACATACACAATGCCAAACTCCGGCAGGAGAACATCGAACTGGGAGAGAAGCTGAAGAAGCTCATTGAGCAGTATGCACTGAGGGAAGAGGTAACAACTCTCTGTTGGTTTAGCCATCTACTCAACTAGGAAAACACTCTCCATTCACTACTGCAGTAAAACTACTGCCACAGGAGTGGCTGTTTTAGAACATAAGGGTAGTTACTAGGAAAAAAAAAATGACCAAGAGGATTAGTTAGACTCATCATGTAATGGCCTGCAAGTCTGTAGATTTGGCGAGGTGAGGGAATTTCTAGGAGGTTGTTAGGAGCTGCACATCTTCCATGAGATACTGCAAGATGGCATTTTCACATCCAGATCATCTTCCTTATCTGATACCTGTATCAGATATTTATGATCATCAGAGTATTTATGGACATTTGCATTACAGTACTTAAGATACTCGTTTTTTTTTTGTGTGTGTGTGTATGTGTTTTTTTTTTTTTTGAGTCAGGATCTTGCTATGTTGCCTAACCTGGTCTTGAACCTGTGAGCTCAAAGGATTCTCCTGCTGCAGCCTCCTGGGACCATGAGCATGTACAAACTATGCCCAGTTTTAAAAGAAATTATTTTCAGTTTTTTGCTCTGTCTGCAGGTCAAACCCAGGGCCTTAGTTGTGCTAAGGTTTTCTACCACTTAGCTACACTCTGTCCTGTTCTTTATTTACTTTCAGGTTTGGGGACATGCTATGTTAGCTCTCTATCACTGAGCTATCACACAGCCCCATGATTTTTTTTTCTTTTTTTTTTTTTTTGGGTCCGGTTGTGCGGCCTGAACTCTGGGCCTGGGCGCTGTCCCTCAGCTCTTCAGCTCAAGGCTAGCACTCTACCACTTGAGCCACAGCGCCACTTCTGGCTTTTTTCATTTTGCTTATGTGGTGCCGAGGAATCGAACCCAGGGCCTCATGCATGCAAGGCAAGCGCTCTACCACTGACCCATCTTCCCAGCCCTATGATTTTTTTTTCTTTTTCTGATAGTCTAACTACATAGCTCAGACTGACCTTGAAGTCTCCATCTTCTTGTTTCAGTCTTTGGAGTACGGAAATTACAAGTGTATGCCACTATACCTAGTTTATTCTTTTGTTGTTGTTGTTGTCAATCATGGGGCTTGAACTCGGGCTGAGTGCTGTCCCTTAGCAAGCGCCCTACCACTTGAGCCACAGGGCCACTTCCAGTTTTCTGGTGGTTTATTGGGGATAAGAGTCTCACCGACTCCTTTCCTGCCCGGGCTGGGTAGCTAAGATTATAGGTATGAGCCACCAGCGCCTGGCTAACCTTAGTTCTTTTTTTTTAAAAAAAATTTTGCTTACTCTCACCATGCTTCACTTTTTTTTCTAGTCCTGGGGCTTAAACTCAGGGCCTGGGTTTTACTCAAGGCTAGCACTCTACCACTTGAGCCACAGCACCAGTTGCAGCTTTTTCTGTTTATGTCATACTAAGGGTACTGAAGGTACTGAAACCTGGGGCTTGCTAGACAAGCATTCTACCAATAAGCCACATTCCCAGCCTCATGCTTCACTTCTGTTTGTTTCTTTGGTGTTGGGAATGAAATCCACGACCATCTTGCACCTACTGGGCATGTCCTCTACCACTGAGCTTCACCCTAGGATTCTATTTTTTGGTGTGCGTGTGCCAGTACTGAGGTTTGAACTCAGGGCCTTGCATTTGGCCTTTTTGCTCATGGCTGATGCTCTACTGCTTGAGTCCATGCCTCCACTTGTGGCTTTTTGCTGGTTAATGGGTTTTGTCAGCCTGAACTGGCTTTGAACTGCCATCTTCAAAGCTCAGATTCTCAGTTTTCAGAAGTTAGGATTATAGGCATGAGCACTCAAAACCAAGCTCCTAGTGTGTTTTGACTCCTTAAATTATCCATCTATGTATGTTATATATAGTATATATTATGCATATATATGATGTATATAATATATATTATGGATAGAAACACCAAGAACATGATTCTAACTATGGGGCCATGTAAGAGGATGAGAGCAAGGGGAGAGGGAAAGGAAAGATGAAGGGTGAATAATTTCAAACACAGTGTAACTATGTATGAAGAATGTAAAAAATCTCAATGAGAGCTATTGATTAATAGGATTTTGAGGTGAAAAAGAGAAAGCAATAGAGAAGGATATTCTGAATAAAACATAACAGATGCACAGCTGAAATACCATAATGAGCCCCCTTGGTGGTCATTAATACATACTAAAAATAACAATGAATGACAGGAAAGTAAATCAGGCTCAGATGGGGGAGCTGAGCATCACCAAGAGAGGAGGGCTCAGGAAAATGTTGGAGAGGAGTATGGTGCATACAGTTTATTTGTGTGTATGAAAACAGATACGTGGAACCTGTTGGAATTGCTTTAAGGGGGAGTGGGATGGGAGGCGAGGTGGTAAGATAAGGTTTATTGAGATTCATTGAGTGGAAAGTCACAATGAAACCTCCCTTGACTGATATTTGCTAATAGGAAACAGGGAAAAAGTTAAGAAAAAAATGCTAGCTTAAAAAAAGAGAATATAAAAAGATGGGTGCTGGTGGCTCACGTCTGTAATCCTAGCTACTCAGGAGGCTGAGATCTGAGGATCGCGGTTCAAAGCCAGTCCAGGCAGGAAAATCCAAGATTCTATTATCGCCAATAAACCACCTGAAAACTGGAAGTGGTGCTGTGGCTCAAGTGGTAGAGGGCCTGCCTTGAGCTGAAGAGCTGAGGGATAGCACCCAGGCCCAGAGTTCAAGCCCCACAACTGACCCCCCCCCCAAAAAAAAAAGAATATATTACCTGGTTTTAGCAGATGACATCAGTTTCATCCATATCTCTCTACATTGTTTAAAAGCAATCCAAAGTGTTCTCTTTTTGGAATAGATAGATATTGGAATGGATAGCTTAAAGAATAATTTGTGTGTGTGTGTGAGGGGGTTCCTAGGGCTTACATTCAGGACCTGGACGCTGTCCCTGGGCTTCTTTGCTCACAGCTTCTGCTCTATTACTTGAGTCACAGCTCCACTTCCAGCTTTTTCTTCAAACCAAAATTCTCAGAGCTCAGTCTCCTCAGTAGCTAGAATTACAGGCTTGAGCCATTGGTGCCCAGCTAAGATTCTTTTTTTTTGGGGGGGGGGGGGGGTCTGGTCATGGGGCCTGAACTCTGGGTCTGCGCGCTGTCCTTCAGCTCAAGGCTAGCACTCTACCACTTGAGCCACAGAGCCACTTCCGGCTTTTTTCTTTTTGCTTATGTGGTGCTGAGGAATCGAACCCAGGGCCTCAGGCATGCAAGGCAAGCGCTCTACCACTGAGCCACCTTCCCAGCCCCCTAAGATTCTTTTTTAAAAAAATATTTTGTTGGTACTGGGGTTCAAACTCATGACCTTGAGCTTGGTAGGCAAGCACATTGTCATTTGAGCTGCACTCCCAGCACTGTTCCTTTTAACCATAACCATAATAACATTTTCACACTTAAACACTTAACAAGTATTTCATACTAAATATCTGGTCATGTTTAAAATTTTCTGCTTAATCTCCTTTTTAAAAAAGAAGTTGGATTAAAATCCAAATTCAAAAGCTGTCCATTTCACTGGTTTCTATCAGGTCTCAGAAATAGGTTTCTTATTCCTTTTTTTGTATGGTTGCTGTTTTTATTCATTTATGTTTTTTTTGGGGGGGGGGTCAGTCATGGGGCTTGAACTCTAGGCCTGGGCGCTGTCCCTCAGCTCTTTAGCTCAAGGTGAGCGCTCTACCACTTGAGCCACAGCGCCACTTTCGGTTTTCTGGTGGTTTATCAGAGATGAGTCTCACAGGTGTTCCTACCTGGGCAGGCTTTGAACCGAGATCCTCAGATCTCAGCCTACTGAGTAGCAGGATTACAGGTGTGAGTCACGACACCTGGCCATTTATGTATTTTTTAATGCCAATACTGGAGCATGAACTCAGGGCATCCCATACTTGCTTTGCTTTTCTGCTCCAAGCTAATGTCATGCCTTTACTTCCAGCTTTTGTTTTCTAGTTAATAGAGATAAGAGTGTCAGATTTTCTTTACAATAAAAAAAAAAAGAGTCTCAGATTTACCTAGGCTGGCTTTGAACCTCAGCCCTCAGATCTCAGTTTCCTGAGGAGCTAGGATAGCAGCTGTGAGCCACTGGCACCAGGCTTCTTGGTTTTTTTTTGTTTTTTTTTTTGAGAGTATTCTCTCTCTCTCTCTCTCTCTCTCTCTCTCTCTCTCTTTGGTCTTTGAGCTTCAATTTTCTTATAATTTAATTCATAAAGCCTTATTTTTCTTACAATGATTCCTTTAGGGCTGGGAAGGTGGCTCAGTGGTAGAGCGCTTGCCTTGCATGCCTGAGGCTCTGGGTTCAATTCCTCAGCACCACATAAGCAAAAAGAAAAAAGCCGGAAGTGGCACTGTGGCTCAAGTGGTAGAGCGCTAGCCTTGAGCTGAAGAGCTGAGGGACAGCGCCCAGGCCCAGAGTTCAGGCCCCATGACCGGACCCAAAAAACAAACAAACAAACAACAAAAAACAATGATTCCTTTAGTTTTATTGTTTAATACTACAATCTACTTCTGTATAGATGTAGCAGATTTGAAAATGTCATCTTTAGATCATACTATTTAGGATTCTTACTTATTTTGAATCGCACGGGATGTATTTCCTTTGTAAGGAAACAAGTGTGAGGAGATCACTTGCAGATGAAGAGAAATCCTCTGCTGCTGTCCTCGCACACAGAGGCTGCCTTATTCCCCACCATTATACCTGCGAACTTCCTGGTCTTCTAGCTTCTTTTCTTTTTGTACCAATCCTGGCGCTTGAACTCGGGGCTTTGACGCTGTCCCTGAGCTTTTGTGCTCAAGGATAGCTCCTCTTCTAGCTTTTTTGGTGGTTAATTGGAGATGAGAGTCTCCCAGATTTTCTGGGCTGGCTTCAAACCGCAGTCCTCAGAGCTCAGTATTCTGAGTAGTTAGGATTACAGGCATGAGCCTCTGACACCCAGCTTCTTTGAAAAGGTTTGTTTTGAGATGGTTTTTGTGTACATAATCACATGATAATTTTGTTTGGAGATACAATAATGTTTTACCAAATGTCTGATACATGCCAGGCACCAAGCATTTCGCATGCTTCCACCATTACATTCACAGTTCCGTCACCATTCTGCCAGGCCAGTGTGGTCAGATGCCTCTACTTAGGCTCAGCAGGCTCAGAGTTTGTCCAGAGCCATGCCCCAGAAGGGCCTTAACTGCTGCCATTTGTACCATCACATGCTGCCACCAGCTGGGAACTTTGGAGTGTCTTAACGGGTAGAAGAAAGGAATGAATGTTCAAGTTGTGTGAATTTAATGACTTAATTTTCTTACCTGTCTTCGTTTTCATGTAGTTGGAGCCTTATCTTCAACACAGGGCAGAACCAGGATTGCAAATGTAGTGATGGAGACAGCCCAGCTTTGACAGCTGGCCACAGGGCATGGGTCCTGTGCTCTGGGTGCAAAAAGCCCCTGTGCTCTTAGCTGTGGTGGTATTAATGGGAAAGCAGAGCAAGAAGGTTGTAGCCGCAGTTCGTTCTGTGCCGTGCGCCCCTTTGCTCATGAAGTGATGGAAGGAATTTGGCTTTTCCCGTAGCATATTGATAAAGTGTTCAAACATAAGGAGCTCCAGCAACAGCTTGTGGATGCCAAACTTCAGCAGACAACGCAGCTGATAAAAGAAGCTGATGAAAAACACCAGAGAGAGAGAGAGTTTGTAAGTTCTATTTCTTTAAAAAGATGTTGCTAAAATCATAAGCTGAACTCTAAAACATTTAAACTGACTCTATGTGCGTTGTTGTCTCTGGGGCATGCTACTTGTTTTTGTTTGTTTTTGTTTTGCCAGTCCTGGGTCTTGAACTCTGGGCTTAGACACTGTCCCTGAGCCTCTTTGTGCTCAAGACTAGTGCTCTACCACTTGAGCCACAGTGCCACTTCTGGCTTTTTCTGAGTAGTTTGTTGGAGATAAGAGTCCCATGGACTTTTTGCCCAGGCTGGCTTTGAATTATGATCCTCAGATCTCAGCCTCCTGAGTTGCTAGGATTACAGGCATGAGACATCATTGCCAAGGATTAGAAATAATTTTTAACAGAATTCATTGTTGACCTAAAAGCTCACTCTTGTTCTCACATTGAATGCTCTAATTATATTGCTTATCAGTAATTGTAAATGCAATAGCATTTTTTTGGCTACAGATATTCAGTATATGGAAATTCTGCTTTATGCACTGGTTTAATACAAACAAGTATTAAACCTGAGAAACGATGATAATAATGTGGACTATTGCATCCAGCACTGACTCAAATAGACCAGGTCCCCAGATGGGTGCGGTGTAAAGACTTGCTTCCTTAGTGATTTCATGTCATCAATGTGCATGCTGGGAGTCTAGGATTTAGGGACATTATTCACACAAAAAATGTGGTCCCTTCCGTATCTACTCAAAGTGGGATCCCGTGCTCAACTGAAAAATGACTATTATTTCTTAAGTTACAGAGTATAAATTTTGCACACACATAGTCACATGTTTCAGGCACGTAGTTTCGGTTTCAGTAGTTTTTCAGACTTCTTTGGACTCTATGTGATACTGTATTTCAAAGACAGTTTCACAATTGCTTAGTGTGTTCTTGAAAACCTCAGTGTATAAATGAAAGCTCCTATTTCTTCTTAACCTGATTTTTTTCCCCCCACTGGGCTTGAATTCAGGGCTTAGGCACTGTTCCTGAACTCTTGCTCAAGGGTAGCGCTCTACCACTTTGAGCCACGGCTCCACCTCCAGTTTTTGAGTGGTTAATTGGAGATAAAAGTCTCACAGGGCTGGGAAGGTGGCTCAGTGGTAGAGTGCTTGTCTTGCATGCATGAGGCTCTGGGTTCGATTCCTCACTACCACCTGAGCAGAAAAAGCCGGAAGTGGTACTGTGGCTCAAGTGGTAGAGTGCTAGCCTTGAGCTGAAGAGCTGAGGGATAACGCTCAGGCCCAGAGTTCAGGCCCCACGACTGAATGCCCCCTCCCTGCCAAAAAAAGGCTCACAGACTTTCCTGCCCAGGCTGACTTTGAGCCAGGATCCTCAGATTTCAGCTTCCTGAATAGCTAGGATTACAGGTATGAGCCACTAAGGCCTGGCTGCCTTTTTTTTTTTTTTTTTAAACAAAGCATATAGAAACTGGTTCTTAGATTTCATTGCTTTGCTCTTCAGCCTTTTACTCTTTTGCTTTTGGACTAAAGTGGCTTTCTCTGTCATGTGAATGATGTTGAGATTCCTAGCTATATTTTCTCTTCTTATTACACATGCAGTTATTTTCCCCTAAAATGTAATAATTTAGTCCTGAATTTTGTAAGTCTTTTTAGGCCTCCTTGGTACTTTTGCTACTTAAGTAGTAAGACTACAGGTAAATGACAATTGATAGAATCATTACATCTGTAGTGGTACTTCCTAAAATAGCTGGAGGCTGTAGCCTAACTGTATGGTCATTTGATGTGGTCCTATTTGTTATTACTATTAGTATTTTGCCAATTGTTTCTGTTTTCTAGCTATTAAAAGAAGCAACAGAATCAAGGCACAAATATGAACAGATGAAACAGCAAGAAGTACAACTGAAACAACAGGTAACGGCAGCAGGTGATAGAATTTGTAAGAAAAACCTATGGTGTTGATGTTCTCTAATGTGATTTTGCCTGATCCAGACCTGACTGAAATGAAGGAAGAGATCATGTTTCCTCTTCCTTTGTTGTGTGTGTGTACACATGTGTGTATGTGTGTGTACACACGTGTGTGTATGTGTGTATATACATGTGCGTGCACACACCCCAGTCCTGGGGCTTAAATTCAATGGCTCGGTGCTGTCCCTGAGCTCTTTTTCTCAGGACTAGTGCTCTACAACTTGAGTCACAGCTCCATTTCTGGCTTTTTGTTTTATTTGTTTGTTTGTTTATTGTGATTAATTGGAGGTAAGAATCTCAGACTTTACTGCCTGGGCTGGCTTCAATTGCAATCCTCAGATCTCAGCCTCCTGAGTAGTTAGGATCATAAGGTTTGAGCCGCTGGTATCCGGCCTGATTTCTGTTCTGTCACTGTATGCTATCTGTTGTCTGTGCTACCTCAAGTCTTGTTACCAGTCATCTTTTCCCTTTGCAGTGCGTTACCTCTTCTTTGCTGGTAATCCTTCCCAGGAGTTGGCCTCATTTCTGCACTCATCGTGTCATTTCACAGTGTTTGCAGATGATACACTCTGACCACGGTGCTTTGGCCTACTTGCATAATCCATCCATATAATCTGGGCATGGTGTCGCCCACTGTGGGGTCCCATTGAACTCTCCGATGGGACAGTCTTTACCAGGCTGTCCCAGCTTTCATTAGAATGGGTCTTGCTAAAACTGCTGGTGCTTCCCTTAAGTGCTAGGACTGTGCCTTATTTGGCCTAACAACTACTGCTGCTTCCCCAAGTCTCGGCCCATAGCCTCAGAGGAATTGTCAGGATGTGTTTCCTCTTCCAACTGCTGCCAGATTTCCTGCATTCCTCTCCCTTTTTTTGCTGGTCCTGGGGTTTGAACTGTGGGCCTGGGCGCTGCCCCTGAGCTTTTGTACTCAAGGCTAGCGCTCTCCCACTTGAGCCAGAGCACCACTTCCAGCTTTTTGTGGTTTAATTTGTGATGAGTCTCATGGACTTTCCTGCCCAGGCTGGCTTTGAACTGCAATCCTCAGATCTCAGCTTCCCGAATAGCTAGGATGACAGGCGTGAGCACCGGCGCCCGGCCCTCCTGCATTCTTCTCCACTTCCTTACAGCAGCATTCTTCTTGCTCCTAGGCTGTGCCTTCCCTTTCTGCAGGTGGGATCCTCCAGCTCTGGCCTAACAGCACTGGAATGGAGCTTCTAGTTAGCTTCCCCCTCTCCCCTCCTTCAGCAGCACCTGCTCCACTCGCCCCAGAACCTTGGGTGTTCTCTCCTCACATCCTTGTTAAGTGCTGCTGAGTAACATTCTCAACTACAGCAGTGCTTTCTTGGCATGTGGTAAACTTTTATTCCTACTTTTCTTATTGATATTTTGTGATCTTAGCTGTAATCCTAGCTACTTAATAGACAGATCAAAAGGATCGAGGTTTGAAGCTAGGCAGAAAAATCTTGTCATTTTATTTATTTATTTTTTATTTTTTTGCTGGTTCTGGGGCTTGAACTCAGGGCCTGGGCACTGTCTCTGAGCTCCTTTTGCTCAAGGCTAACACTCTCATTTGAGCCACAGAGCCACTTCCAGGCTCACGGGCTTTCTTGCTCGGGCTGGTTTTGAACTGCAATCCTCAGATCTCAGCCACCTGAGTAGCTAGGATTAAGGAGGGAGCCACCAGTGCCTGGCTCCAAAATAACCAGCAAAAAGCCAGGATGGAGGTGTGGCTCATATGGTAGAGCCATGAGCATGCAAGCTAAGCAAGCAGAAGGCCCTGAGCACAAATTCTATAGTCAAAAAGTAATCATTTCTCGGGCTCTGCCTTCTCATTCTGTAAATAATGTAACGTGACATTAGATGGTCTCTGAGGGGTTCACTCTTGGTCTCAAATGAAGTTTTTCAGCCCTCTCCCCAGAGGCCTCCTGGGCTCAAAGCTTTCCCTCTTTGAACACACTGTACTTTGCCACTGTCCTTTTTTCTTCTTCTTTTGTCAGTCATGGGGCTTGAACTCAGCCTGGGTGCTGTGCCTCAGCTCTTTAGCTCAAGGTAAGCGCTTTACTACTTGAGCCACAGCACCACTCCCAGTTTTCTGGTGCTTTATTGGAAATAAGAGTCTCACAGGTTTTCCTTTTGGGGCTGGCTTTGAACCGCAGTCCTCAGATGTCAGCCTCCTGAGTAGCTAGGATGACAGGCGGGAGCCACCAGCGCCCCTGTCCTTCTCTAAGTGCCTGTTCTGTGGGGAAGAAAACAGCGACTGTATTTTGTGTTCTGCATGCGTTGTGGGTTGTTCTGAACTTGAAAACAAATTCCTTGAATCCAGGAAGGAGTTGAGAGAAACAGTGGTGTCCTTTTTTGGTCCCTTAGTATTGAGGGTTGAAGTCAAAGCCTCGCACTTGTTGGGCAAGTTCTCTACAACGTTCTCTACCGCTTGAGCCATACTCTAGCCTGAAAGTAGATGTTTTTATCTTCTTTTATCCTTTGCTTTAACTCTACTCCCACTGAGTTCTTTGTTCCCAACCCTTGTAGTTCTTGGGCTTCTGTTGCATTGCCCTACCTGTATTTTTGAAAGAGATATCCTTGATAGCAAGCTAAGAATCATGTGGGCGGTATGTAATGATAGATGGTCCAGCCAGATTGCTCTCACCATGCCCCCAACAGTTTGTTTTTTTGTCAGTCGCGCGTGGGGCTTGAACTCTGGACCTAGGTGCTGTCCCTGAGTTCTTCAGCTCAAGGAGAGTGCTCTTCCACTTGAGCCGCAGCACTACTTCCGGTTTCTTGGTTAATTGAAGAGTCAGGGACTTTCTTCCTAGGCTGGCTTTGAACCATGATCCTCAGATCTCAGCCTCCTGAGAGCTAGGATTACAGGCATGAGCCACTAGTGCTGGCTCCCCAACAGTTTTTATATGTAAGATGAGAAAGTTCACAAAACATTAGAGGTATATGAAATTTATAACTATAACAAGCATATTCTTCAGGTTTTGTTTAAATGGGTGGAATGGAGCTATCAAAGGTCTACATAATAATTTTTATTCTGTCTTGGGGCTTGAACTCAGCCTGGGTGCTGGCTCTAAGCCTTTCTTCTAGCGCTCTACCACTTTGAGCCATAGCGTCACTTCTGGTTTTCTACTGGTTAATTGGAGATAAGAGTCTTATGGACTTTCTTCCCAGGGCTGGCTTTGAACCTCAGTCCTCAGATCTTCGTCTCCTGAGTAGCTAGGATTACAGGTGTGAGCCACCAGCACCCAGCAAATGTCTACATTACACACACACACACACACACACACACACACACACACACACACACACACACACACACACACACACACACACACACACACACACACACACACACACACACACACACACACTCTCTCTCTCTCTCTCTCTCTCTCTCTCTCTCTCTCTCTCTCTCTCTCTCTCTCTCTCTCTCTCTCTCTCTCTCTCTCTCTCTCTCACACTCCTGGGGCTTAAATTCAGGGCCTGGGTTCAGTTCTTGAGCTTCTTTTGCTCAAGGGTAGCACTCTACCACTTGAGCCACAGCACCACTTCCAGCTTTTTCTGCTTATGTGATGCTGAGAAATCGAACCCCGGGCTTCATGCATGCAAGGCAAGCACTCTACCAGAGCCACCTTCCCAGCCCTCCACTTCCCAGTCTCACAGACTTACCTCCCCAGCCTGGCTTCTTACTGCAATCCTCAGATCTCAGCCTCCTGAGCACAGCTAGATTACAGGCATGAGTCACTGACACCCAACAGATGTCTACATTTCAAATACATTATGCTACTGTGTGTGTGTATGTTCACATGGGTACATGTGTGCAAGCATCCAAGTACAAGGATTTGACCTTTGGGCCTTTCTCTTGCTTAGCTGTTTTGTTCAAGGCTTGTACTCTTCCACTTGAGCCACAGCTCCATTTCTGGCTTTTTGCTGGTTGGTTAGAAATGAGAGTCTCAGAGTTTTTTTTTTTTTTTTGGGGGGGGGGGTCCGGTCGTGGGGCCTGAACTCTGGTCCTGGGCACTGTCCCTCAGCTCTAGGCTGACGTTCTACCACTTGAGCCACAGCGCCACTTCCGGCTTTTTTTTTCTGCTTATGTTGTGCTGAGGAATCGAACCCAGGGCCTCGTGCGTACAAGGCAAGTGCTCTACCACTGAGCCACCTTCCCAGACCCTCTCACAGAGTTTTCTAGTCCAAGTTCGCTTTGAACCTCAATCCTCATCTCTAAGCCTGCCTCCAAAGTTTATGTATTTCTGTTAGTTGAAATTTTATTCATCTGTATTTGGTATCCAAGAATTGGGTGTGGATTCACTTTTGTTCCTATCACTTAAATCAAGTATGTAATTTTTAAACATTGTTTTGAAAGTTTAGGAATTGGCATTTTTGTGTGTATGTGCTGGTACTGGGATGTGAACTCAGAGCCTCATGCTCTTACTTACTTACATTTTTTTTTTTTGCTCAAGGCTGGTGCTCTATCACTTGAGCCAAACTTCCACTTCCTAATATTTGCTGAGTAGTTTCCTGAATAAATACCTTGGATTTAGCCAGGCACTGGTGGCTCACACCTATAATTCTAGCTACTCAGGAGGCTGAGATCTGAGGATCACAGTTTAAAGCCAGCCTGGGAAGGAAAGTCCATGAGACTCTTATCCTCAGTAAACCACTAGAAAACCAGAAGTGGCACTGTGGCTCAAAGTGGTAGAGCTCTAGCCTTAAGTGAAAGAGCTCAGGGGCAGTGCCCAGGCTCTTGAGTTCAAGCCCCATGACCAAAAAATTGAAACAAAAACAAATCCCCTGTATTTGCCTCCCTATGTTTCCAACAGCAATCCTCAAATTTCAGTGCCCTCAGTAGGATCACAGCAATGAGCCACAGGAACCTGGTAGGAATTTTCATGTTTACCCAGAGTTTAGAATTGATTTCATTTTTCTTTCTCTATAGCTTTCTCTTTATATGGATAAATTTGAAGAATTCCAGACTACGATGGCAAAAAGCAATGAACTATTTACAACTTTCAGGCAAGAAATGGAAAAGGTATTTGCATGTTTTTAAGGATGAGTATAGAAAAGTGAATTTATATAACGTATTTCAAACGTAAGTAGTACTATTTGTGTGAATTTATATTGTGATGACTGTTCATTTTGTCTTTCATGATTTTTAGAGCCTTATTTAGTCATTTTGCCCTCTGTGTTAACCAAGTAATAATGATCTCTAAGCTTAGAATTCTAACTTATTTAAAAATTCCTTAGAACTCCTCTGGTACATGTAGTTTGTAGCTGAAATAAGATTTTGGTTTGGGGCAGGGAATGTGGTTTAGTGGTAGAGTGCTCGACTAGCATGCATAAATCCCTGGGTTCGATTCCTCAGAACCACATACACAGAAAAAGCCGTAAGTGGTGCTATGACTCAAGTGGTAGAGTGCTAACCTTGAGCACAGAGAGGCTCAGGGACAGTGCCCAGGCCCTGAGTTCAAGCCCTAGGACTGGAAAAATAAAAGAATTAGGTTTTTTATCATTATGTTTGTATTCAATTACTTTAGAAGATCATTTCCAGTTCTCTCACAAAATTCTGTCTGAGAAGAGTAAAGACAGTCACATCCAGATTAAAAATTAGTGTATTTTTGTTGGTTGAGATGCACGTACACATGCGCACACACACACACACACATACACACACACACACACACAGACACAGACACACACACACACACACACACACACACACACACACACACTTTTTACCATTGGGAAAAAAGCTTTCCTTTCTCTTTCTTTCTGTTAAGTCTTGGGGCTTGAACTCAGTGACTGGGTGCTGTCCCTGAGCCCTGAGCTTTTCTACTCAAGGCTAGCACTCTACCACTTTCAGTCACAGTTCCACTTCTGGTTTTCTTGTGCTTAATTGGAGCTAAGAGTCTCATGGACTTTCCTGCTCAGGCTGGCTTTGAACCACAATCCTTAGATCTCAGCCTCCTAAAGAGCTAGGATTACAGGCGTGAGCCACTGGTGCCCGGCCTCCTTTTTTTTTCTCTTAACTGAAGCCCACTGAAGTCTTTCCCCTCCAACCCAACTAATTCTTTGGCTTCTATTATATCTTCCTGCATGCATTAAGGAAAGATCTTTGTTAACAAGCTAAGAATGTGTCTACTCCTAGGTGGATGCAAGCCTCAGCTTGCCTGTTAGCTGGGATAGCAGGTGCACACCACTGCACCCATCTAAACTGGGAGGTTTTAGAAAAGTGTTGATGAGAAGGGTAGTAGTGCATGCATAGCACACTTAATTATCTAAGAGTTCAGTAGATAGCAGCCATGACTATTAACCTCATCTTACATAATGGTTAATATGCTGGTGGGTTCATCTAACTGTGGACAAACTGTTTATAACTTTTTGTTGCCTTTTTGTGCCTTTGCTTTTAAAAATTGGTAGAAAAAAATAAAAGAGTTGCCCTTCATAAAATAATAAAGAGTATTTCAGATAGTGTTTGGCACATCAACATGTGCTCAATTACCATGAGCTGAACAGTGCTCAAATTACTACCTTGAGGTATTTTTAGACCTAGTAATCTGGAGAATTCCATGAGCAGCAAATTTGTTCAGCCTGTCATTCCTTTCAGTTGAGGATCCAATCAAGGGGAAACTGTGAAGCACACAGAAGTGTTAGCTAGACTTCAGTACATGCTCACTGTTGAGGTACAATAGGACTCAAGACAAGACGGGGAATCCTGTGGAATGAGAAGGGAATGCTGAACTGGGGGTTAGCACCTGACCCGAGGCTTCCATGAGCTTTCTCCATGGCCTTGGTCCCCATTTAGCTTTCCCATAGCACAGGGTGCCTAGCCCAGTGCCCTGACGCGGATCAGCGCTCATGTGCAGTCAGCAGTGGGTAAAGGAATATTGAGAATGTGGCAAAATGACAGGCACAAATCAGTCAGCCCAAATTTCTGACAAGTTGGGTTCTTGTAGCAGAGACTAAGGAGTATTTTCCTAATTTCTGAACTCACTTTATCCTTAGCCAAATCTGAGTAAAATAGTCCTGAGAGTTCTGAGGATGCTCAAAGTTTAAGTGGTTAGTACTTTCTTTCTCCCTGGAATCTTCTGAATCATGCTTCCTCTTAGTTTTGAAGTCATGATTTGGAAGTTATGGTAAAACACCAATTCTTAATCTTTTATAAGACTGAAACTCTGTCCTTTCTAGACTATGAGGAATTCAATGAACAGAAAACACACACGTGGATATTTTTTTCCTAAGGCTTAAGTAAAAGGAGGTTTTGCTCTTCCCAGGTGGAAAAACAGCAGTCCAGCCTTATAGAGAGCTCTGAGTATGCTGTTGCCTCTAAAACACATTCACCTTTTCCCCTCATGAAACCCTCACCTCAGTTGCACCCTAGGAGCTACTTCTTTTCTTTGTCGGTCGTGGGACTTGAACTCAGGGCCTGAGCGCTGTCCCTGAGCTCTTCATGAGTGCTCAAGTTGAGTGCTCTGTCACTTTGAACCACAGTGCCACTTCCAGTTTTCTGTGGTTAGAGATAAGCTTCTCACAGACTTTCCTGCCCAGGCTGGCTTCGAACCATGATCCTCAGATCTCAGCCTTGAGCAGCTAGGATTACAAGCATGAGCTATCAGGCTTCACTCTAGGAGTTTCAGAGAGAAGCCATGCTATCAACAGAACAGACAGCCACTTCTTTCAAAGCACACACAGCTATCAGCTGGTCCGGGCGGGATAGGAAGTACAGAGGATATGCAGTTTTTTTGTATTTTTTAAATATTTTTTTGATACACAGTTTTGAATTTAAATTTGTGATTTTGTTTATTCACAGATGACGAAGAAAATTAAAAAGTTGGAAAAAGAAACAATAATATGGCGTACCAAGTGGGAAAATAATAATAAAGCCCTTCTGCAAATGGCTGAAGAGGTGAGGTAGTTTCCAAGACTCACATGTGTTCCTAATTAATGGGCATTCATTAAATTCAGGTATCTGTCAGGACAAGGGCCAGGTGTTGGGGTACTACTGTGATAGTTGCTGAATAGACGGATGCCTTTCCTGTCAGTTTGAGGTGGAGGAGCTTGAATGAGGGATTGAGCTCATCATCCAGTTAATTCTCCTACGCTTGTAGTGAAGACACTTAGAAAGCATCTTCTGCTTTGTTCTATAGAAGTAGTTTCTTAACCTTTAAATTTGAACCAAACTCATGTTCCAGGATGAGATTTCTAGGCCCCAGCTAGAGGCTCTGACTCACTAGGTCTAAGGTCGGTCAGGGAACCTGCTTTTCTAATAAGCATTCAGTTGATGACCTTGAGTGCAGTACTCACGCCTTAGCAAGCAGGGACTAGATTTCCCAGTGAATATGAAAGCAAATGCCTGCTTTTCACAAAAGCGAAAAAATACTGTAGTTTGGCCAGTTTTATAATATGACACATATTGCTTGCAATCACCAACTTTTACATCTCCTGAAATTTCGTAAGACTCAGGTAAAATTTCACAAAATAAATCACTGGAGCAAAAGGATCTTAGCTAAAAATTGGTAGTAGGAAAGCTGTACAATTGAGTCATGTTTTAATTGAATTCTGGAGGGCATTTTTCCCTAGTTTCTGATTGGTGCTGGTCCTGGGGCTTGAACTCAGGGCCTAGATGCTGCCCCTGAGCTTCTTTTGTTCAAGGCCAGTGCTCTGCTACTTTGAGCCATAGCTGTACTTACAGCTTTTTTATAGGTAATTGGAGAGAAGCGTCTCTCAGACTTTCCTGACCAGGCTGACTTTGAACCTCTACAGATATCAGCCTCCTGAGTAGCTAGGATTACAGGTGTGAGTAACTGGCACCTGGGCCTTTAATTTTTTTTTTGTTGTTGTTGGTTGTGGGGCCTGAAGTCTGGGCCTAGGTGCTGTCCCTCAGCTCTTCAGCTCAAGGAGAGCGCTCTACTACTTAAGCCACAGTTCCACGTCCAACTTTTTCTGCTTAAGTGGTGCTGAGAAACTGAACCCAGGGCCTCATGCATATGAGGCAAGCACTCTACTGCTGAGCCACTTTCCCAGCCCCTGGCCTTGAATTTTTAGTAGTTCATCAATATGAGTGTTTTAAAAAGTGGATTTTTGTCAGTTTTTAAAAGATGGGACCCAGGGAATTTAGTTATCATAGAATAGTATTAGGGTAAAGATCATTCCTATATTTAAATGCATACATATGTAGTGAAAGCAACCTTGCCCCATAGTGTTAGTTAGGCGTCTGAAGAAACTGAACATGTTCAGTAGGTGGCAAGACAGATGAATTTCCAACTTGGCTCACCTCATTTCTTTGGTTTTATTTTTATTTTTTGCATGTGCATAATAACCTCAGTTGTACTTGAACAAGGTTATAGACATACTGGTGTGTTTTTTTTTTCCTTCCAACAGAAAACTGTCCGTGATAAAGAGTACAAGGCCTTTCAAATCAAGCTGGAACGGTTAGAGAAGCTGTGCAGGGCTCTTCAGACAGAAAGAAATGAGCTCAACGAGAAGGTAGAAGTTCTGAAAGAGCAGGCCTCTGCCAGAGGGACTGATGGGGACTTGGTGTCATCTGCACTGCAACCCTGCACTGTCCTGGATTCTCACAAGGAGCCCAGCGCTTCCCCAGGAGCGGTGGGGGTGAGCCTGGAGGCCAAGGCGGAGAGTGAGAGTGCCGCACAGAAGCTCGTGTCGCCAGCCTCTGCCGCCGGCATTGAGTCGGTTGACTAAGGTGAAGTGTGATCACTGTACTGAGAGATCTATTTTGTGTATAACTTTCTGTTAGTAGTAACTATTGGTTTTGTGGTGAAAATTTTCTTACTTTTTCTACCATATCTGTATTTTCTTAGAACTACTGGACTGTGGTACAGGAGGCTGCTTAGCAGTTTGAATAGTTTGAATCTATAAATTTCTCCCTCAGCTATGTTGCACATCTGCCTCATTTTCCCCTTTGTTGGAGTGCATGTGTTCACTGCCTTGTCCGTCCATTTTCTTCCCAGCTCCCTGCATATAATGTTCCTAATTCAGACATCACTTGACAGGGCTGACCATCACACAGGAATTCTGTTCTTGTGATGGTTCCCTGATATGGAAACAATACTAAGTTAAGCATCTTGAATCCCCTATTAATAGTATTCAAAGGAGGCTGATTAGTTGTCTAATAACCTATTCAAATGGTGAGGGGAAAAAAACTCCTGTAGTGTTGGGTCAGAAACAAGCATAAGGTATTCAGATAACGTATTCAGATGAATGCTTTGATAATGTTTATGTAACTTGACAACTGAGATGGCTATAGGCCTTCACTTCCAAGTTTGGCATATATATAGTCACTTGGGAACAAAGTCCTATATATTGGCAAGAACACTGGACAATAGGCTTCATGTTTACTTGGCTGGAAAGAGAAAGAAATGCCTTGATTTCAGGCTAGAACGCATGTGGAATTCGGGCTACCTGATGCTCATCTTAGGTAACGGTGGTGTGAAACTTAGCCGTGACTCCACTTCCATGGAAAGCTAATTCTTTGAAGACATTTGGTCTGCAGTTCCTTGTCTGGTTAAGACAAGGGTAAATTGTCATTTAGCTTTTATTAGACATAAGTTCATTGTCTTCTGCCTATGTAAAAGTTCATGTTCAGCTGTTGTGTTGGAACCACCAGGGGCTGGGGTGTTAACAAGCTCGATGTAGGTGTAGAGGGCATTTCTAGTAGGTGTGAGGCCTTGGTCTCTCTTCCCCACCCCCCCCCTCCCCCCACACCAGTGAAGAACTGGAGACTTACTGATTCACAATTCAAATTCTCTCCCAAATAGATTTCATTTACACAACAGAAACACTGGAACTAGCATTTTCATGTTGGGAAAACTTGGCAGAGTGTGACCTGTAACTTATGCTTTCAGTCTCATTTCTTACTGTTAATTTTTTTTCAAAGAGAAATACAAGTATTGTCAAGTTCTCTATCTGGAATTGGAGACGATTTGAAATTTGCCTTTTTCTTCCTTCAGTGTTTAAGGCTACACTGATGACAGTGTCTTTACTGTCTCTGGTATTTGTATTGAGAAATACTTTATGGAATAAATGAAATAAAAAGGTCCTAGTAGAATTGATGTTAGCACATTTCACTGAGCAAAACTATCAAACTGACACTTGTTAAAATTGCTTACTGGACTGAATAAACTTGTTCTCCTTTATTTGTAAATTCCTGTCACATTCATGGTCTAAACTGCGTTGAAAGAACTGAAACTTATCCGATACAAAATAGTACCTGATGTGGAGGGATTTTTTTTTTCCTAAGCTTCCACCATCAGTCGTGTTAAGGGGATAGACAGTGGAGGAAAAAATCCAGAGTAGATCATCTCAAAGAGTCAGAAGCAAACTCATAGAAATACACCCTACCCCCTTTGGCTACTGAGTGATATGTTGATTTAATTCCCGCCCCCCTAGGGGAAATGAAGGTATAATATCAAATATTATCTACCTTGAAATTAGTACTAATGGTCATATATCATGAGAACTGCTGGATGTCCAGCTGTTAACATTTTGTCAAATCGTGTGTAGCCCACCACATTTCTTTGTGGTACCGGTCCTGTGTGGAAGACTGTAAATCTTGGACCTGTCTCATATTTTCAAGGGCGTTATAAAGCAATGTGATTTAACAGTACTTGGCCTGCTGCTTTTGGCTTATGTATATTTTTAGCTAGATGCTGTTGTGGTGTTTAAAGGCTGTGGATTCTGTCTGGGATGCATTCAGAATCTCTCCTCCTATTACCCTGTGAACAAAAAAATGAAATGGGACCCTCCCCGAGGAAGTACCGCCTCCCCTAAAGCAATCACATCGCCAGCCTTGTGTTGTGGCTTTGTAGTACGCCCTTTATCTACCATATTCTAGAGCACTGTAATGCTAATGCTACTTAGGCTGGCCCAGAAAAGGTTTCAATGTTGAATTCACTTAAATTGCACCACCATACAATCTTGATGTATATTATTTATAGTGGCAGTAGACCTCCAAGGTGTAGAGCAAACTTGGGTCTTGGATAATGGACCATTTCATCCTCAAACTTGTAGTATATTTCTTGGTCTTGAGACCAGTATTTGTTAGTTATGTATGCAACTGCCTTTATTACACCTGGTTATCACAATTCAATTCTCAGGTGTTGCAGAAAAATCTACCTCTTTCAGACTGTACATGGAAGTAACTGTGAGAAAATGATGCAGATATCTTCTAGTTTGTGCTAAACACACTGCTTTATTTTTACAGCCCACGTCTTTCATGAGGATACGAATTGTTAAGAGGCAGTCTTGTTTTGCTTTTCAAAGACATTTTGTAGAGATTTTTCACTAATGTGAATCTGATTTTATCTACTCAATTCTGTATAGATTAAGTAAATATGTATGATAAATTTAACAGCTTCTGTGTATTTTTTTTTGTTACTCATGTGGCCTTTGTTGTAGACTAGTAAGTCCAATGGTAAAATTCTGTCCATTCCTGCTGAAGAGGGGGTACACACCCCCATACCTCCCACCTTCCCCAGCTTCTGAATGAATGCAACAAAAATTTATTTTAAAACTTTTATTTCTGCAAAGCCAATCAAGAAGTGTCGGAAGGAAAAAGTGAAAAAAGTTATCCTTGCATATTTGGGAACTTGAGCAAGCACTTAGTTTGGGAAAATGAGGACTTAAAACATCTGAATCAAAAGGCAGTACCCTGCAACTTGTACTTTAAAACGATGATGATGTTCTCCTTTAAGCAACATTCCTTTTTTCCCTAATAGCTACAAATATGATACAGTACGCAACAGCTCACTTGAAAGTGCTAGAATCAGAGGGTAAAGAACGCCAGAAGCCATCCCACTTACATTTTCTACTATACAATGCCTTTTGGCGCTTGACAAATCAAGCATTCTTGTAAGCATTACATTCAACAGAAACATCTTATACTTTGGGGTTTAAGATCCTTGTCCCTGCAGTTCCGATGTTGTGACATCTGCCTCTTCATCATTGTAAATGTTTTCAGCCTGGAGATAATTAACAAAATCAATTCACAGATAAAACTCCCCCAAGGTGCTCACAAAACGGCCTAAAAATGGAATTTTCATCTGTGAATGCCAGATTTTAAGATTCATGTCAATGTGTCTCAGTGCTAGAAATTAAACACGACATGTTCTTAATTTGTTGACTGCTTTCATTGTATTTTGCATTTTCTAGACTTCAAGGAAGGAAAAAGCAGGCACAAATTAAGTTACCTGCCAATATGTAATTGGCACATACATACCCGGCCACCCACACACGAGTCATTCAGAGAAAGGTGCTCTTTGCAAACACTTCTGGCATCACTTACAGGAATGATAGGGAAGGCTTAGTTAACTCGGCACCTCAGAAGTGTCAAGTATTTACCGCTTGAACACTTCACCATTTCCTCCTTGTATTCTTGCCTATGGCACAACAGAGACACTGGAGACAGAGCAGTGATGCCAAGATGCCACTGGACAGAGGGCTGCAGTGACATTTCAAGCACATAGGCTGTGCATCTGTGTTTACATAGATGTGCAGAGACTGCCCCCAACCTGACTGGCGCTACAACATATTGAACAAAGCACCTGTATGTAATTGAGCGAAACCTGAAATGTCGTCTTTAGTGTCCTCACTTGAAATGTTTACTATAAATTACAGTCTATCCCAGCTTACCATCTGCCATATTTGCATGATGTTATCCTCTGACACTGAGCAAATGACCCAAGGCTCATTGGGGTTCCAGCTGAAGTCGGAAATCTTGGCAGTGTGCCCTCCATGAATGAACTGTTAAGGGTAAAGTCTTGGTTTCAAATCCTCTCTTGTTAATCCTAATACAGGTTTTAAAATAGTTTCTAGATCACATTTTTTGGAGGGGGGAATTGCCCCACAGTTTAGAGGGCAGCTGATTCAGCCTCCTGTGTCCCTATTCCATTACTTCAGAAACCTTGAAACCTTCAGATTGGGACATAGAAGTACCGTTTTTGTTTTCTTTTTAAAACAAGAACAAAAATATTATGATTTTGAATTGGGAAGTGACACTTGTGTGTGTGCTGTCTAAGAGTTTGAACTCAGGGCCTGGGTATTGTCCTTGACCTTCCCCCACTTCTAATAGCTAGCACTCTACCACTTGGGCCACAGATCCACTTCCATTTTGGTGGGGTTTTTTTTTGGTAATTTATTAGACATAGGAATCTCAGCTGGCTTCAAAACACAACCCTCAGATCCTAGCCTCACGAGCAGCTAGGATTATAGGTGTGAGCCACCGGTTCCTGACTTGAGAAGTGATGTGACGCTTTGACATTACTAGACTCTAGTTTGACAATGAGGTCTCAGCCAATTATTTGCCATGTTAGTTATCTAGTCATTTTATCCGTTAAAAAATGTGAGATGGGGTATACAAGCATCTCAAATATTAAGTACACAAGTGAAAAAAACCTCAAAAGTGGTACAAATGCTGAACATGAAAGAAGCTGAAGACTCTAGGATTTACTCCTAAGGGCTTTCTTTACTCCTCAAGACTTGTGAGTGAAGCACAAGTATACCCAAAATTAGTACTGTCATAAGAGCAATATAAAATGAGTGATGAATGCAGAAGACAAATGTTGAATGCAGAAGAAAGACAATGAATCATTGCTAAATCTGGCAATGCTTCATATGAAAGTGACGTGGATTTTTAAAATCAGGTCATTAAAATGTTTCCCATGGAGCTGGGAAGGTGGCTCAGTGGTAGAGCGCTTGTCTTGCATGCCTGAGGCCCTGGGTTCGATTCCTCAGCACCACATAAGCAAAAAGAAAAAAGCCGGAAGTGGCACTGTGGCTCAAGTGGTAGCGCACTAGCCTTGAGCTGAAGAGCTGAGGGACAGCGCCCAGGCCCAGAGTTCAGGCCCCACAAGTGGACCAAAAAAAAATAAAATAAAATGTTTCCCATAAATTACGTATTGCTAAATGAAGAACAATGCTATCACTGCTATCTTCTCTCACTACCAAAGGCCTTCAGGAAATATTACAACTAGAATAAGATCGTTTCCAGGACTCCAACTACTATTACTAAACTTCCCTATTTTGATAAGTGTCAAGGCCCAAT